ATCTATATTTAATACGTATTTGTCAAACTTGCTCATAATTTCTAAACTCCATGACAATAGATTAAAGAGCTTAGTGCTTAGAACCATAAATGCATCATAAAACTCAGAAAATAAACACACTTATTATTAATAGGGTGCTTATTCACTAGTTTTGAAAATCAAATAACATCCAATTCCAATCAATTAATTTGAGATCTGACAATATGGTACATTACTTTACAGTGTAGGTGCGCTTAGGCCACGCAAAGTTAATTTTTCGTTTTGCATTACCCGCCGACCCATTTTTTCAATTTTTCAAAAAAAATTTGGTTTTTTTTTGAAGTTCCAATTGCCCCAATTGCTCTATTTTTGCTGTTTAATTTTTCCCCATAAATTAATCCGATATCACCCGATAGATCCCTTGTTTTCCGGAATTGTCCGATAGAACTGATAAAAAAAAACTCAATTGCCGACCCAAACTTCCGATTCCATGTTATGCAAAGTGAAAATTAACTTAAATATGAACAAGAGTCTATTAATTTGCTGTAGATTAAAAAAAAAAAAAATCCGACCGCCGACCGTTGATTTTGAAATCCATGTAATGCAAAACGAAAAATTAACTTTGTGTGGCCTTATTTACAGACCATAAAATTTTATTACAAATATGTTTATATTCGTTTTCAAAAAAGATCACAATTTTTTAATCGCACTTCCACAAACCGTTCCGTTCTTAATATTTAATTTATATTTTACTATTCGAATCTTTGTCAAAGAAATCAGAAATTTTTATTGGTTAATCAATATCTAAATCACCTGCATAAATCCGTACAACTACAGTATGTGCGGAAATTAACGGAAGAATTTGCAGAATTCTGGGGTGATTTACTTATTTGCGCGGGTAACACAAACCAAAAAAGAAATCAAATTTTAATTGCGTAAAAATAGAAGTTTAAGATTAGAACGTTAGGGTTGTGAGCTTTAACGATAAGTTGGAGTTTCTTAATGTAAAATTTCATCCCGTTATTTTTTATTAGTTCACAAAGGTCGATTTAAACACTAGTTTTTGATTTTTTTCTTTTTTTGCACGTGCTCGGATTCTATGTCGGGCTGATCCGGAATATCCGAAGTTTGTTTCTCTGATTGGCCTTCCTTTTTGGAGGTTTGTATTACTGGAGCAAATAAGTGGATGCAATAATTTAATACGTAGTAAAAATAGAAAGTTCAAGCTGCAATAACTCTCGAACCAGCAAACCCATACAAATAAAATTATATTTGTCGGTTTCATCATAACGTGCACTTCAATGTGAATGCCTTTCTTTTTATTTTTATTGTCTGGAGCGTAGCGGGGGAATAATTTAATAATAAAATTCTCCTCTGATTTATTGTTAATACAAATATCAAAAACGTAGCTATTGCATATTGTATCAAATTCAAAGTTACATTTTTGATGTATTTATCAATAATATATCAAAAACGTGAATTTTGGTATTCCACTGCTACGCTCAAGACAATAAAAAAAAAGAGGACGTTGTCACTTTAAAGAGCACATTAAAACGCAGTGTTGGAATTGGACTTATTTGAACAATTGGACTAATTGTACTAGTACCAATAAGTCCAAAAACAATTGGACTTGGTCCAATTCAAAAAAGAATTTAGTATGATATATACGATATATGTAATCAATAAAAATTAAATTTGATTAGCTTCATTAATCTAAATACGTAAGTTTAACATAATTAAATTATATCCAATTGTCCAATAACTCCAATCAAACCAATTGAAATAAGTTCAATTCCAACACTGCTAAATGAACCCGACAAATATAAGTAGTTTTATTTGCTAACTTAAGAGTTATTACAGCTTGAACTTTCTATGTTTTTTACTATTAAATTATCGTTGATCTAAAAAATCTTTGTATGACCTGCACTGTATTTGTAATTAGACTGATGTCGTACACCCCAACCCAGTCGGGTGTGTCTAGTGTAACCCGGGTTTGCATAAGGAGAGCATCTTGTAATGCAGGATGATGCAGCTGCTAAAAATCGAACAAGACTTCTACCTCGGTGCATAAATCGTGACATGACATGTCCAGATTTTTTTCCGGTGATATTTACTAAACGGAATTTTGGATATGCAGCCGGAAATATTAACCATTTTTATTCAATGAATAATCTATTACGTATACAAAAATGATAAGTAACGAAAGCTTTCCGATTGCAAAAAATTATGTCGAAATTTTTCTTAATTAACCGGAGCCTCGGTATTTTACAATAGAATTCTATGCTCTGCTTCTACTGGTTATGCGACAATTCATAATTTATGTGCGTCATTTGTTGAATAGATTTGGATTAAAAAATATAAATTTTATATAAACCTTATTATATAACAATAAGAATAATACTTATTTATTTTTTTTTAAAAAAAACATCATAATACATGAAATGAAATAACCTTGAAAATAGCGAATTGCTTCTAAATGAACACGATTTAATGCTGCAACTAGTCTTTTTACGATGACAGTAATAACAATTTTTTTTAGTTGCCAAATTATTACTTAATAAAATATAAAACTTAGTAAACAATTAAATAAGCAAACAAAAGTTTACTATGAAAGCATATCAGGCTCTGGGGCCTTTTTTCAATAAACTATTGCACAAAAGTTTTCCCTTAAGTGACATTAAAAAGTAACAAATAAATAAAGCACTTTCCACGAATAAAAAAAAGCTCTTTTGGCACTAAACAGATAAAATACGAATAAAAAAAACCACGTTAAGCTGCAGAAAGAAGCGCTTTTTCCATTACTCGGGTATTTTAGGATTGGCCATTGAACGCTGGTTAATAGTGTAAAGAGTGAATTTGGATGCAATTTTGGCCAATAATTAAATACATTAATTCGTGATCTTCTATATGCTTAATAAATGCAAAACTGCTGTTTTTGTAAAAATTAATAATTTGTAATAAATTTTCAAATGAAATTTTTTGATTTGTATTCAAAACAAATCGGCCGATATGGTTTATTTAATACCTGCTTGCATTAATAATAGCGAATCATTTACAGAACAATTTATTTGTTCATCTCACCTTATTGATACTAGGATACAGATATGACAAATTTTCATCAGACGCACATTTCTCTTCTAATATAACGACTTTTCGAATTTTCTCAATTTTTCTTTATTTAATGCAAAATTAGGATTTTCGAGCAAAAAAAAATAAAGATTTATACTAAATAATTATTAGAAAGATTTGATGTGTTTGTTTTTCTTTGCTTTATACATTTTATGGCATCAATAAATCGTAGGTCATTCGTTAATTGGTGGAAATTCAAAAATGATATGCCGATTCCGAATTGATGGGTGTATACTTATTTCAGGAACCATTCAATTTCCGTGGATTAATATATCTTATCTTTATCATCGCCAATTAATTAATTTGTATACGTTTAAAATAAAGTTAAAGTTTTAACTCTATTTTATACAATTAATTAATTGGCTGACATGATAAATAGGTGTATGATATAATCCACTGAGATATGATGCTTCCCGACAATAGATATGCATACCTTTTGTAAAATCAATTAAAAGATGCTTAATCTAACCTGTTGCTTAAGGACAGGTTTAAAATCTAGTATTGGGGGTTTTTTTTTTAAAAAAAAGAATAGATTTCGTATATGTAAGAGACGTTATCAGTTATGTATGTACGTACGTACGTACGCCGTATGCACATACGTTGTAACTTCGAGTAGACATAAATAGGTATATAATTTGTATCTAAAATCCAAAGATAGTTAACAAAAATTTAGGGAGTACGTATATGAGTTCGATGGATGTGCGTTTAAGAGAAAATATTGGTTTATTTTATATTTATTAAATAGAATTACAAATAATATTGTGAACTAATGCTAACCACCACTAACACTATACCATTGTTGTTATTTAAGTATATGACTAAGAGACATTAACAAGTTCGTTCAACTTATTCTCCAGCATCACCAGAAAACCATACTTACAGTATATAGCTTTCTTTATTCTAATTCTTCCCAGTTGTTACTAACTTTTCCGCTGGTTCTTCACATCTCCGGTGGTTATTAACTTTTCTCTTAGGTTCGTTAATCCGATTATGAAACCCACAGCAGATGTGACTTACCAACCCGCAATTAAAAAAAAAAAATTACAAAAAAAGTAAACTTAAATGTTTTTTATATCGACCATAACAACAGATGTATGCACGTCGTACGTACGTACGTACGTATGTGCGTAACAAACCAACTAATTGAATGAATAGAATCCTTGGCAAGTAAACTAATCTTGGCTGGCAAACTAACCCGTACTCTCGTAACAATAACTAATAACCGAAATAACGATTTTTCACATAAAAGGATTAACATAATTGTTAATAAAATAAAGAATACATTGTAACGTAAATTAATTAACAGCACACAGTTATTAATTATCACATGATCTGTATTACTTGAATTTTAATTATTACAGCATTAATTGGTGTACCGATTTCACATTTATTCAATAACTGTACAATTAAAAGAATCATTTGTATAACATGTAACCCGCCAATTATTTAAATATATTTATAGAATTAATGAATTTTCAATCAAAAATTACCTTTTCACTATTGTGCACAAAGTAAGATAAAGCAAATTAAGTCGACACTATTAGAATGGATGTAAAAATTCTTGTGTTTATCATATTTGTAGTACATATATATATGTTCTGTACATATGTATATACGTACATGGCATAAATTATATTGTCAAATATGGTTACTAATATAAATAAATAATAATTTGGTCTAAAATTTAAACTTTGTATAAACCCTACTTCATTAATTCTCGAATTCCCTTCGTCTCATTTCTGCGAAAGAGTTGACTAATACTTATTTACATTCTTTTTTTTTCCAATAAAATACTTTAAATTTCTTCAACACCCGTTTAAAAATTTTTTTTCTCCTAAAAAAACTTCATTATATAAAATTTTCGCATATAAAACTTTTCATTATTTAAAATTATGCGTTCAATTATTCATACTGGCTTCCTTTACATAGCAACTATTTTAGCTTTCGTAACTGTTGCTTATGCATTTTCTACCGGTGCCGGTACATGTAATGCTGATCAAGCAACTATCGAAGCGGTAAATAGTACTCCTATGGGCAAGGAAGGTAACTTAGGCTACTCAGTTACTATGTCACAGGATAATCATTATTATGTTCCAGGTGGTCCTGGAATACAATTTACAATTACTGGTACAAATATAACAACCTTTAAAGGGATCTTATTTTATGGTGCTGATACCTCTAATAATCATGTTGGTCAATGGACCGTTTCATCTGGTTATAAATTAATGGCAAACTGTCCCGGTGATCCACAAGGAACTCTTACTCATAACTGTATGTATTTTTTTCGCATTTATTTTGTTATAATTGGTTTTTTTCTTTCATTTTACTTATTTTACATGTTCTATATTATAGCTGCTACAAACAAACCTGTTAACACCACATTTAGTTGGACTCCTCCTACAAGTGATGCCGGACCAATCACTGTCTACTGCGTAATCTGTGCTAGTTCCGAACAAGGTTTCCAAATTATACAATCTTCTCAACCATTTACAGTTAACGGAAGCACGTTTGTACCTCCAGCCTCGACCAACAACACTTCTGACACTTCTCCATCTACGGCCGCTTCCAAAAATTCGGTTACCGGTACTAATTCTACTAGTACCCCCCACCCAACTGCTATTAGTAATGCCGATTCTTTAAGAATGTCAAAGTCTTCATTTTTAATACAATTAGCTTTATTTGTTCCTCTAATAGTTTCATTATTGAATAAATTTTGATGAAGAAATGTATACAAACTCTTAAATCCAGAAATGATTTATATGATTACTGTAATCTACATAGAGTAAAAAAAGTTCTTAGAATTTTCATCAAATATTTTTTGCTGCAATTAACCCAGTCATTTCTTATAATTTTTTGTAATTGCAATTTTAGTCACTATTATTAATAATAAATTAGACTGGATTAATCATATTTTATATGGTGAATTTGGCAATAACATTTCTAAACTATACTTTTTTAAGAAGTCTTGTATTATACATTAATTGTATTATCATTATTTCATCAACCAATAATAAATTTGTATCAATATCTAAAATATGGTTGTTCATCAATTCCTTTTGAAAACAAAAAAAAATGTTAAAAGTTTTTTTCTTTACAACTAGAGATTACATTCTCCATTAGTATATAATTTACATTATACGGAAAAATTCAATCTAAAGCTTTTAATTATTAATAAGTAACAACTGAAGTTGTATAAAAGTGTTCATTAAAGTTTGATTCTATAAATTTGCAGATAATTCAAGAATAAAGAAAGCTTAATATATTCCCATTTATCAAATCTTAAATGTTAAAAATCTATTTACTTTGACTTATACATGTGTTTTTATTGAATGTCTACAAATCTTTTACATTTACTCGTACATAATTTATCTCTTAAATTTGTTATTCATATCAAGCCCTTGTCTTGTGAATTATTATCAAATAGCTTCTACTTTCTATAGCTCATTATTTAATCCCAAGATAATCGAAATCTGAATTTTATGATTAGTTTATAGTATTTGTTTTTGATTTGATATTTTTTTTGCCTAAATCTCATCCTAAAATCCGAAAGCAATTTCGAAATCTCAAACTAATATCAAATTACAAACTAAGGGTGCTTGAAAACTATTGAAATATCGATATAACGGAAATCTGGATATAACATATTCGCTATATCTATATAACGGAATAGGCTTGCCAAATATTAAATTCCGTTATTGACCTATTCAGGCCAGACTTTTTTTAATAATAGTCCATTAGTAAATTGCAATCATAGAACTGTGCTCTAATACGTTATATAGGTTAGAAATTTAATAATAAAAATCAGTAAATGGACTAGTAAAGATGCCCGTTATACTAGCTATAGTGTCATACAATAAATTAGTTTGTATTGGAATTATCGCGATTTCCAACGTAAAAAAACTCTGTAATAGAACTTACAGCTATTGTATTGGCATATGGTATGTGATTTAGTTTTTATTGGATTTATCTCTTTTACCATTATTTACTTCTACTTCTAAACTTACAGTCGATTGCGATAGCACACAATATGCGATTGAATTGGCTTATATTGAAGATATAACGTGATTACTGTAAAAATTTAAGTTCCAGAACTTAATAATTATAGAAACACACTGTAAGAAATTATATGGTAAAATACGGTAAGTGGTTAAAAAATTCTGTAAAGCTATAGAAACACATTAGTACGCCCGAGAGTTTTATTATTGTTGTTATTATTATTTTGTTAAGGCTCATTGGTTGACAAGAGCTGTTCTTTTGTAAATTTTTATACAAACTAACCATGTTGAATATACATCCTGACGAATATTTAATAATATTTCTATATGAGTAAGTTGACGTTCTAACGATCTTTAGAAACATATATTACATGCGATACAAAGAAATTTTTATAACCAATCATGCAGAATCACTAACTTAGAGTGTTCTCAAACATCTCACTCAAAAAATTTTAATTGGTCAGAAAATGAATAAATTAGCTAAGGGCGTTCTCCAACTCATCAATAAATGGATGAAAATACAGTCAGACCTCTCTAAGTGCACGCCCTTGGGACCACACTTTAATAACATGCATATAGAGAATAATAAGAAAAAGTGCACTTATGGAAGTCAAGTATATATTTGGGCCGGCACTTGAGCGTGCATTTAGAGAGGGTGTGCACTAGTGTTGTAAGCCACATGACTTTAGGCGACTGGCTAAGCCAGCTGACTAAAACATCGGTTAAGCGGCTGGCTAATACCTGACTAATGGTCTATTTTTCGGAATACTTCGGAAATTTTCTCAAAGTATTTTATGTCTATTCATTTTCCTTTTCGTAATTCTACTATTCATGAATCATGTGACCCTTAATCGCATTAGCCAGCCGACCATATTATTTCCGGCTTAGCCGCGGCTGTCCCAGTCGGCTTACAACGCTAAGTGTGCACTTATAGAGGGTGTACCTGACTGTATCGGTATGTCAAAAATTTATCAGGAATTATAAGCATTTTTATCGATTAATCGAGCTTGTTATTAATATAAGGTAGTTTATTACGTGAAAGAAAAAATTTTAATAGTAAAAAATTTTTTAAGTTTACCATTTCAATAAAAAAACTTTTTGTTCCGAACAAAGTTTTTTTTTTTTTTTTGTGTTGACTTATCAAACTTTATAACTATTAAAATGAATGAAGTATTACTCAAATGTTTCATACTTATTATTATGGATTCTCATTATCGGTATGTTTTGTAAAATTTCCAATAAACTAATTAGAGTCCTCTCAAACAGTGAATAAGATCTTTATTTAGTCTATCATTGCAATTTAGCATACCTCAATGATATCATCATATTCGTCGCATTTATGACTTTATTTAAAAAATTATGGCGATACTTATACACTATTTTCAATTATAATGAATCGCATTTAGGATTGATACTTAAGAAAACCCAAGTGAATTACCATTTTGACCACCTTTTTTCAAAAATTTGTCATTAGGGTGATTCTGAATTAAGATTCAGGGTTCTGATTTTGAATTAAATTAATGATATACTGTAATTATTTCGAAACCAGTGATTCATAAATCTTACTTATACTGTATAATAATAATAATTAATACTTTTATGATCATGAATTTCTTTCTCAACTTGAGACCTGTCACATATATATTTTAAAATACCTTTTATTTAGACAATTACATATTAAATACATACTGTAAATAGTGTTTTAGAAGTACTAATAAAAGAAAATTCTAACAGTGCTCATAAAAATACATCGGTTTACTAGTTCGCAAGAGTATAATGAAGGAAGTTCATTATTTAGGGTAGTTTTAACCCAGTGATATTTTCGGGATCATCACATCACATGAAAGTGCTCGGCCTAAGTTAGAGTTAGTGTTAGGGTTAGGTGATAGGCTTATTTTTAGTGCTAGTAAAAAATGACGTCATGCATGTGATGTGACGATCACTGGGTTCCGTTTTCTTGAAGTGTCCCATTATTTAAATTGTTAAGAATTTCCACCAAAATTCTCGAAAAGAATCGATGAACTGTTGAAACTATTGCAAACAACTGAATTAGATTGATATTTTATTATTCGTGAAAAAATTATAAACCTTGTGATTTTTTTCAAGTTTTTCTTTAATGGTTTGTTTAAAACTTTTTTTGGAGGCATATTATTATATTAATTAAATATTAATATTCAAAAATAAATGTGTAATATTAATTAAGAATTTTTTAAAAAAAATTTAAGCGATATTTTGTAATGCTTTATTAATTTATTACGATAGTAGCAAGGTTACTCATTTTATCTCTGGATAACTCCTATTTCATTTTATTATTTCAAAATTCACTTATTTTCGAAATATGTTAATTATAAGTCTCCTTATTAATAAAGGTCTCTCAAGCATTGCTTTTATATTTTTGTATATCAATTCTCAACAAATTTCTAACCGGTCTGAAAAATAGCATTATATTTTTAATTCTCAAAGTTTTAAAGCAAATAATTGATACCTTGATATGAAAATGCAATAGATCTGTTGCAACGAAAAATTTTAAATTAGTAAAATCATTAAGAGAAGAAATTAACATAATTGAAGTTGAAGCTTAGAGAATAGATAATTTTTTATTAAGTATTTTAGAAGAATAGCAAAGATTAGAGAAATGGTAAGAGTACGCACAAGCATTTAATTCTATAAACATTGTTATTGATTATACGCTTGATCGTTATCATGATCATTATTTAATCAATCGATTGAGATGCTTGGGACACCCTTAATCAGAAACAAACTGAAAAATTTTAAGTTTTCAGAAATTATGAAATCAACTATAAAGTGTATTGGCAAAAATAGAAAAAAATTTCGACCGGGTAAAATTGTCACCCAAAAAGTTTTGAAAATCATGTGTTATTGTCATTTCATCATGATTAGGATCATGATAATAATATTTGATAAAGTATTAATTAATTCAGAAATGATTTTGTTTCTTTGGTTCTTCAAAATGTAAAATGATCGCTGCAATCTTTTAAAAACATAAAATAACACAATATCATAACCAAATTTCCACCAATGATAAATGAAAAAAAGAAATAAAAGTATAAAAACTAATCAGGTAAACGCAATTGCACCAGAAAATCTTATAGATTTTATTTTGAATGCTCTTCCAGAAGATTATAACTGATTACTTATTTGAGTAAAAAGTTTTATAATTCTGAATCCAGAATGCAACAAAAAAATTATTGAAGAAAACATGATTAATCCAAATAGTAACAAATGGATCGATAATAAAAATTTTGAGCCATTGCATAAATCGGAGGAGGATTATAATCGTTTTAAAAGGCAATGGAATATTCCAAATACTTAGAAAAATCGTAATAATAATACTTTATGGCTAATAAATATCACGTTTATTGAGTTTATTTGAAATAATAAAATGATTAATTTATTGCATATCGGTATTATTTTTTGTTCAAGTTAAATGACTTCGGTGCTCGATATATTTATCACGTGATGATCGAACCTACCAGGAACGTTAGTGTATGGTTTTACTGGCATCTAAAACGAAGGCAAAATCTTAAAGCTGATTGGTGCACATTTTTTCTCATGATCATTACCTGTTTTATGTAACATAAAATTTTAGAGGTTAAAGCGGAGTGAAATTTAGTTAGGGTTATCTTCTTAATGAAGTTAGGAGGTTTATATAAATATATATATCAAGAATGCGGTTTATACAGCATGTAGATCATGTATTA